CAATTTGATTTCTATGTATTCCATCTGGTGAGGTCCATGTGTATAGTCATCTCTTTTGCTGTCTAAAGAAGGTATTTGAAATGAACAAATCATTGATTTCGCAGAATCCTATCATGCGTTCTCCAGCATAATTTCTATCACCAAGAACATATTTTCCAACTACTGATCCTTCCTCTTTGCTCCCAACCTTTGTATTCCAATCACCAGTAATGATCAATACATCTTGATTGCATGTTTGATTGATTTCAGATTGAAGAAGTTGATAGAATTCTTCTATTTCATCCTCGCTGGCTTTAGTGGTTGGTGCGTAAATTTGAATAATAGTGGTATTAACTGGGCTTCCCTGTAGACGCATGGATACTATGCTATTACAGACAGCATTGTTGTACCTCATGACTGATCTGGATATATTCTTTATGACCATGAATGCAACAACATTCCTCTTCAATTTGTCATTCCCGATATAATAAACCATGTGGTTATCAGATTCCAAATGGTCTGTCTATACCAGTCCATTTCAGCTCACAAATGCCTAAGATATCGATGTTCATATGCTCCATTTCATTTTAGACAACTTCAAACTTTCCCAGATTCATACTTTGTACATTCCGTGTTCCAATTTTCAATGGATGCTTACAGCTGTTTCTCTTCATTTTGAGTTGTGCCCCAACAGCAAATAAAAGTCCTGAGATCTTTTCTCCCGCGGGCTTCATTCCATTCGCGTCATCATGGTCAACTCTACTTTGAGGAGGCAGCTCTTCCCCAGTCGCATTTTGAGTGTTTTCCAACCATGAGGGGCTCATTTACCAGCACTATATCTTACAGTGTTTCTCTGCTATTCATAAGGTTTTCAGTGACTAAATATTCGGAAGTAGCTTGTCACATCTTCTTCCTAGTCTCTCTTTCTCTGGAAGCATCTGAAACCTGTCCACCAGGGGTGACCTTGCTGGTATTTAAAAAACCGGTGGCATAGCCCTCAGAATCACAGCAACTCACAAGCAACCACAGTACAACAAACTGACAGATGAGTGGTGGCAGATAACCTGTAAAGCAATTTAGAGATCATCTGAAGAACAGATTTGATACATTAAACAATAGACTGAAGACCAGAAGCGTTGTAGGATGACAACAAGAACATCATACACAAAGAAAGCAAAAAGTCATTAACAAGACAAGAAAGAAGGGAAACATCAAAATGGATGTCAGAAGAGACACTGAAACTTGCTCTTCAGCATAGAGATGCTAAAGAAAATGGAAGAAATGAGGAGGTATAAGAGCTGAACAGAAAATTTCAGAGGTCAGCTTGAGAAGATAAAGCTAAATATTACAACACAATGTGCAAAGATCTGGAGTCAGAAAACCTAAAAAGAAGAACACGCTCACCATTTCTCAAGCTAGGGGGAACTGAAGAAAAAACTGAAGCCTCGACTTGTGTTACTGAAAGATTCTCTGGGCAAATTATTGAATGATGCAGACAGCATTAAGAGAAGACGGAAGGGACACACACTGACGGAGTAGCATGGAAAGGTTGACAACAGCCACACCTCTGCTCCAAAGTAGTGATTTCTGTCTATGTGTTTATATTACTTCTGTTTTTGGTCCTTTGGATCATACATCTTTCCTGAAGGTGGGAGCTTTTCCTCCCTATGTCACCTAAGAAGAGGCAGCAATCATGGCCACATAGCCAAGCTATAAACATACCCCATAATATTCCACCACTGAGACAAGACCTAACAACACCTGCTATGTATTACATATGATAAGGGAAGCCTAGTTCCTG